TTTATACTAATTTTACGACGTTTTTAAAGCGTCATAAACTTATAGCGACGGCCGCGTCCTCGACGTTTGGTGATAAGCGTCACTAAAGGAATTAGCGGCGTTTTTCATACATATAGCGGCGTTTTTAAAATGCCGCTAAAAGTCATTTTTCCAGCAGTGCTTTCTGGGTGGAAGAAATATTATGGATGGAGTTCCAGTTGCTAATGAAGTAGTAGATTGGTGGAAGAAATCAAAGAGCAAGGGTTTAATTCTAAAACTGGATTTTGAGACGCATACGATTCAGTGAATTGGAATTTTTTGCTTAATATGTTATCAAGTTTTGGATTTGGCTCAAAATAGCTGTTATGGGTGAAGGAATGCTTATCATCGTCTAGAGTATCTCTACTAGTAAATGGATCCCCCACGGCTAAATTTGGCCCGTAAAGAGGATTGAGACAAGGTCACTCTCACTCTTCCTGTTTAATGTGGCTGCTGAAGGTCTTAATGTGTTGCTGTTAAGAGCCAAGGAGTTGGCGATTATTAATGGAGTGTCAGTGGGTTCAAATAGGGTAAACATATCCCATCTTCAGTTTGTGGATGACACAATTATCTTGTCGAGGGGAAGATCTGATTCTAGAAGTAGGAATTTGCAGCTTGATTTTTGAAATAGGCTCAAAATTGAGATCTTGTTGGAAATTTTTTATTTTTTTATTTTTTGTAAGAGCATTTAAATATCCAATGTGCTGATTGGTGAATTTTAGATTTTATTTTATTATTTTATTTTTTTTAGGATTTGGGTGAATTTTATAATTTAAATATGCTTTTATGAACATGTACAGTTTAATTATTCTTTGTAAAATATTGAATTTGATGGTTTGATCAATTTTTATTTTTATTTTCTGTTATGATGTTTTTGTGAATGGAATGTAAATAATCAGCTCTTAGTGAGTGAGAGACGGCACCACCGTCGGAAAAAATAGAAAATTTTAATATTTTTATTAATTTTGTTATAGGTTTTACTTTTTGCGACGACATTATATTGTCACAAAAAATAGAAATTTTATTATTTTTTAATATTTTTTGCGACGGCATTAAACTGTCGCAAAAAATAGAAAATTTCATATTTTTTATATTTTTTGCGACGGCACCACACCGTCGCAAAAATAATTTTTTTTTTTAAAAAAAGACTATTAGCGACGGTATTATATGCCGTCTCAAATAATATTTTTAGCGACGGTAAAATAGGGCCGTCGCAAAAAAGTCAAGAAATTTCAAACGTTATTAGCGACTGCACGGTGCCGTCGCAAAAAGGTAAAAAATGCCGTCGCAAAACATTAGCGACGACACTTACCGTCGCAAAAACTCTTTTGCAACCCCTGCAGTTGCGACCCCCTTTTGCCGTCGCAAAAAGTATTAGTGACGGCATTAGGAGTATTAGCGACGGTATTTTACCGTCGCAAAAAGTCAATTTTTTTGTAGTGAAAAGAGATTTTTAGTGAGAAGTGATGTAAGAATTTCAATTTTACATACTAATTTTCTTAATTTTAAACAATTAAGAAAATCTCCATTGGTTAACTTTCATTTAATCATATAAAATTCTAATTTGTCTATGATTTATTTGACAATCCCACATCCTCAGAAGAAGAAAAAAGTGAATTGTTTTACTCTTATAAAGTTAATCTTTACTCTCATTTAGTATTGTAGTATTATGCATATTTCAATTCAATTCAGTATAATTTAAATTTAAAAATTTTCATTAATTAATTTTTGTGTAAGTTGGTTGATTAGGCTAAATCATTTTTTATTTGACTGATTCATTGGTTTAACCGCAATGTTAGCAGTTTTATCAAAATATATTAATTAGATTCGTTTGATTCGAAATAAATTAAAGATGGATCTGATCAAAGATTGAACGACTGAGATTGTTTTTATTTTATAATCCCACATTGGACAAAGAGAAAAAAAGTGAGTCGTTTCACTTATAGAAAATGAATCTTAATATCGTAGTGATGTGCATGTTTCAATTTAAAACAGTTTAAATTTTAAAATTAAAATAACATTTAAAATTTTTAATTAATTATTTTTTGTATAAGTTGGTTGGTCATTTGACCTAATTGATTAGGCTGAACCGTTTTTGGTTTGACTAATTTCTCATACTGATTTTTTTAATTTTAAACAATTAAATTTTTTTCCATTGGCTAGCTTCTACGTAACCATTTAAAGATAAAACTTTAATTAGTTTATGATTTATTTTATAATCCCACATCGAGAGAAGAAAGAAAAAGTGAGTTATTTCACTACAAGAAAAGTGGGCTTAAAAGACGAAAGCATTTGCGACGACACACTTGCTATCTCAAAAAATGACTTTTTGCAACGGCACAACTTGCTGTCGCGAAAAATGTGAGTTTTTGTGACGGCACAATATGTTGTCACGAAAAATATGAGTTTTTGCGACGTCACAATTTGCTGTTTCTAAAAAATAGAGTATTTGCGACGGCAGAAAATGCTTTCACGCAAAAATGAGAGTATTTGCGACGGCAGAAATTACTGTCTCAAAAAATGTGAGTTTTTGCGACGGCACAATTTGCTGTCGCTAAAAAATAGAGTATTTGTGACGGCAGAAAATGTTGTCGCAAAAAAAAAAGAGAGTATTTGCAATGGCGGAGATTGTTGTCGTTTTTAATTTTTTTTGCAACAAAAAAATATCGTTGCATTTATTCAAGCCATTTTGTGACTATATATATATGAAGCCGTTTCAAAGCCACAATATATATATATATATATATATATTGTGGCTTTGAAACGGCTTCATATATATATAGTCACAAAATGGCTCGAATAAATGCAACGATATTTTTTTGTTGCAAAAAAAATTAAAAAAAACGATGTTATCTTACTCTTTGGATATAACATTTCTCTTTTCATCCATTTTTTCATCTTCATGTCTCTCTCTTTCTCTCTCTATCTCTCTCTCTCTTTTCTCTTTCTCTCTCTTACTCATCACTCTTCTCTGTCTGTCTGTCTGTCTTTGTCTTTGTCTCTTTCTCTCTCTTTTTCTCTTTGTGTCTCTCGCTCATTGGTCTTTTCTCTTTGTCTCTCTCGCTCATTTCTCTTCTATCTATCTCTCTTGCTCACCTTTCTTCTCTCTCTGTCTCTTTATTTTTTTATGTCTTTCTTTCGTTCATCTCTTTTCATTCTTTTTTCTCTCTCTCTCTCTCACTCTTTCTCTCTATCTCTTGCTCATCTCTTGTTTCTCTATCTTTTTGTGTGTGTGTCTCTCTTTCTATCTGTTTTCCTCTCTGTCTCTCTCTCTCTTTCTCTCTATGTGCCTCTCTCTCTCTCTTTCTCTCTCTCTCTTCCATTGTGTTCATCTTGCTTACTCCCTTCCTTCCTTCTACTATATTTACCAAGTTTCTTATCGATTTATCGATCCATTACGAGAAAATGTACTTTTAGCGACCACTTTGTCTTTATCTCTCGCTCATCATTCTGTCTCTGTCTCTCTTCTCTATTTGTCTCTTTCACCTCTCTCTCACTACCCATCGCCTCTATTACCTTCACCACTACTGCAAATATCATTCCACTACCCATTACTATTACCTATATTGCCACTCCACCTCTACGACCATTACTATCACCATCACTATCACTTCACTACCACCACCACCACTATTGCCACTACTACAACCATTACCTCTCCCCCACCACCGCCACTCCATCTCCTCTACCACTACCACAACTTCACCATTGATCTCCTTCGCCATCATCACCACCACCACCTCTTATTCATCACCTTCACCACTACTGCTGCTCCCTCTTCTCTACCACAAAAAATTAGTTTATGATTTTTAGTAACAAAAAAAAATGGGCCGCAAAAAAATATTTTTTATTAACCATAAAAAATTAACTTTATTTTAATGAAAAATATTTTTCAGTAAAATATTACTCCTACTTTTACCAAATAATTTTTTTTTTCATTAAAATAAAAATGAAACAAATAAATTTTTAACTTTAGTAACTAAAAAAAAATAAAGAAAATTTCATTAACTACAAAATTTTCATTAAAAATTAAATTTTTCATGACGTATAAAAAGTAAGCCGTTAAACCTATTTAACTTTACACGATACTCGGCATCGTTTGGGAATATGTTATTTTAATAACTTTTTAACTTTTTACGAAAAGATGTGCAAAAAATAAAGAGGTGATGTGACGAGTTTTAGTTGATTTTTTAATTTTTTGGTTAAAATAATCCTTCCCCAAACGATTTCTATCGTGAAAGCTATGATCCAAAAAAAAATAGTGCCAAAATTAAGAAAATTCAGGCGCCAAATGCCAAAACAAATATTAAAAAATATATATATCAAATTACATTGACTTTTGGCTTCTTCTAACTTCTTTTAATCAAAAACAAAATAAAAAGGTCCATCAAAAGGCATGTAAAAGAGAGGGAGCGAGAGTGAGAGACAACGGCCAGAAGCTCCACCTCTGCCACCGCCGCCCAGCGCCACCTTTGCACAGGAGGGCATCAAATCGGTATTGGGACATCGATCAGAATACCCTCCAATATTGTGAAGAGTCTGCGATTAGGTAACTAAAAAGCTTTTTTCTTGAATTTTTTGATTTGTTGTTTTGTCTAATGCCCACCATGAACCAATGAGGACAAAAACCAAATGCAGAAAATTAAACACGATGCACAAAATTGCTTCCTTCTTCTCAGTCTTCCTCTGTTTTGGAGTTGTTTATGCGAATCGTATATGTGAATCGTATCTGTAATTGGGTTTTTCTTACAAAAAATCAAATATTGGAATCTAGTTTTTTTTTTTGCCCCTTCAATGTGATATGGGTTTTGCTTTATTTTTCGTATTATCCCAAGTGTTGTTTTCCTCTCACGTTAAGCATTGGATTTGACGTAGCTGAGCTATTTTATGACTGTTATTCATACATCCACCTCCATTATTGGGTTTCTTTACACTGTCATTTACTTTTTGAAATCTTGATTTCTTTGAGTTTAAAAAAAGGGGAAAAAAGGCGAAAAAAGAGGAAAGAGAAAGAAAGAAAGTAAAGAAATCTTGTGAGATTATTGTTATTATTATTATTATTATTATTATTATTTGGAAGGATTCGGGGGATACCTGCTGCCCTTAGGGACATTAGTTACTGCTGCACCTTTAAACTGCCACCTTTTGGTCAGGCCATGACTTTTCCTCTTATTGTCTTTGTGTGAACCATTATGCTTTCCAAAGTTTGAAAAGCTATTTCCTGAAGGATCTGTGCTCTTTAATATAGTAGTTGTAAAATAAGAATTAAGAGCAGAAATCTCTCACACTCAAGGATGGAGTGGGGACTAAGGTATGTATAAATAATTGGGTTGCTTCAAGCCATGATTGTTTAGTTTGGTTGTCAGGTGGCATGAGAGGTGTCACACTCTTCATTGTTTTCATGAAAATATTGTTGGCTTTGGAATTTCATTCTTAATTTTTTTTAATACAATTCCAAAAGGATGTAGCCATGGCTAGAACTCTATTTTTGTGTATATAACCTACTCTACTACACACTTAATTTAATTAATTGAAAAAGTTGTGGGTGGGTTTACTGAATCCTGTAGTAACTAAACACACGCGATGCGATTTTATCTATAGGACTGCTATATTTATCAATTTATGCAGTTGTTGCCAGACTTCAAGATACTTGAAATGGCCATAAACGAGAAAATCCACAGAAATTGTGCAATATATCTGTAGCTTCACCTAATAAAATGCAAAACTAAATACCAAAAAAAGATTGAAAAAATAAAAAAACATGGAGAGAAGTTGCTAAGTGATCACAGAAGCATAACGTGTGCAGAAAAGGCAAAAGATCATTATAAAGTAAAAGAAAGCAGAATTAAAGAAAAAGAAAAAAAGCAACCATTGTAGAACAGGTTCCTACAATGAAGCTGGAATGTTCTTGAAATAGAAGCTCCCATGTAAGAGGGAAGTTTGTGGTGTGGCACACCAGCCAGCTACCTAGATACTGGACATTTGAGCATTTACATTTGAATTGTTAAATGGATTGATACTTGAGGAAGATATTGGAGTGACACTTTGGAGCTACACAAATATTTATAATAAGGCTACTCCTTTAATTTAAACAAGTTTGAGGGGTGTCTAGGATTCCTAGTGTTGTGGAGTGGGTTCGAATCTTGGAATTGGCCTCTCTACAAACAGTTTGGGGAAGGTTGCCCGCGCATTCTTATCCTAGATCCTGTTGTGAGCAGGGAACCTCATGCATTGAGTACAACCCTTTTTTATTTGTAGGAAACTAAGAGAAATATGATGTTGGAACTTTGGCCATCATGGTGCTGTTATTATTATTATTAATTCTATTTGTTGCGTTTAAAATTCTTCAGATGAGTTTGAAGTACAAATTTATTTGTTAGGGGGAAAAAAAAAAAAAAACAAAGGTATAAGGTTTGAACTGCATCATTGAACAATTTTAAGCTAGTAGCATTTTCATTTATTTGTTGAACATACTTATAAAGCTCTTGGAACATATTAGAGGGTTCTCACAAGTCATATTGGTGTTAATTCTTACCTTGAAAATGCTTCTTTGCCTAAAAGATACATTAATCTCTTGTAGGTGGAATCAACAATAGAACACATCTGTCGTCATGAAGGTGATGGAGCCATTCTTGTATTCCTCACTGGTTGGGATGACATTTCTAAGCTGCTTGAAAAAATTAAAGCAAACAGTTTACTTAGAGATCCCAGCAAGTTTTCTTGTTCTTCCTCTTCATGGTTCAATGCCTACCATCAATCAATGTGAAATTTTTGATCGCCCACGTGCCAATGTGAGGTATCCATCTTTCTTGTTGAGGTTCTATCTTTTGGTAAAGATTTATGATACTTTTTTATTTTTTATTTTTATCCTTAGCGAATGAATTAAATTTATTTTTAGCATATGGATTTTTTCCAAAGTCATGTATTTTTTTCTTGTCTCTTCAATTGCTTAGCTGTGTACTCGAACTTATGGTGATTCACCATCAAGGATAGTTTTTTGTTTGTTCTTTTTTTGTTTTCTTCTTCTTTTCACTGATTGGTATTGGTGTGCAAATATACAGAAGACAACATAAGTTAGAAGATGCACTCAGATTTTCATTAAATAAAATTTCATTTTGCCGGTAAAAAAAATATTGGAGCCATAAGCTCTATGTAACACTTTCCTTAGTTTGATAGTTGAGACGAAGTAGAATGTATATGGATTGTTGAAAGTAGAACATGCAAATCAGAAAGAGAGGAAGTCATGTATTTTTTCTTGTCTCTTCAATTGCTTGGCTGTGTACTCAAACTTATGGTGATTCTCCATCAAGGATAGTTTTTTGTTATTCTTTTTTTGTTTTCTTCTTCTTTTCACTGATTGGTATTGGTGTGCAAATATACAGAAGACAACATAAGTTAGAAGATGCACTCAGATTTTCATTAAATAAAATTTCATTTTTCCGATAAAAAAAATATTGGAGCCATAAGCTCTATTTAACACTTTCCTAAGTTTGATAGTTGAGACGAAGTAGAATGTATATGGATTGTTGAAAGTTGAACATGTAAATCAGAAAGAGAGGAAGAGAGAGGGATGGGTGAGAGGGGACGGGGATCATCTGAGGTGAAAGTCGTGAGGGAGAGAGAGGAGGCTTGATGGTGGGATATAGTGATGTTTTTTTTAAGGATATATTGTGTGATGGCCTTCTAGTGAATTCTGTGAAAGTGAGATCAATGGTGTGAGATAGTGAGATCAACGCTTAGCTATAGGGAGTTTTAAGAGAGAGCAACAACTAATATTTTTGATTAGCCCTTGTGCCAAAATAGTATTTACATGTGTGGAGTAATATTTCCAAGCTTCGATACTTTGACATCGTACAATGTCAAATCAGAGCTTCGACATTGTTATTTTGGCATTCACCAATGCAAGTGCACTTATTATATAAAAACATTTTAGTTTTTGAAATAATAGAGACAAGTATACTTCATTAAATAACAATGTTAGAGTCAGAAATTTAATTCAAAAATTAATAAAAATTTAAGTGTGTAGATAACATGACTCACTATGTACTAAATTTAGATTTAGACAGTATACTTTATTCTCTGATCACTTTTTAAACAATTAATACCAAACAATGCCTAAGAATATGTAGTGTATATATACATACAAGTACACACAAATACAGACAATAGGATCACCCGTGTATGTATGTTTTCAGTAGACAAACTTACTGATTTAGAACCGGATTTCACTCTAGACAAACTAGTTTCTTAAAGAAATTTAGAATTCGAGGTGTTAATGCCCCAAAATTACCAAACGGCGTCGGATTAGCATGAAACTTGACACACACGATCGTCTTGGCACGAGAGATTTGTGGGAGAAGACGGGACTCGAATCGGGTTCCCGGTTTGGGAGTTAGAGCCGGATTTCACTATAGGCAAACTAGTTCTTTAAAAAACTTAGAATTCGATGTGTTAACACTCTAAAATCACCAAACGGCGTCAGATTAGCACGAAACTGGGCACACACGACCGCTTTGGCACGTGAGACTTGTGGGAGAAGACGAGACTCGAATCGGGTTCCCGGTTTGAGAGTTAGAGCTGGATTTCACTCTAGGCAAACAAGTTCTTTAAAACACTTAGAATTTGAGGTGTTGACATTCCAAAATCACCAAACGGCGTCAGATTAGCACGAAACTTGCCACACATGACCGCCTTGACACGGGAGACTTGTTGGAGAAGACGGGACTTGCATCGAGTTTCCAGTTTGAGAGTTAGAGTCGGATTTCACTTTAGGTAAACTAGTTCTTTAAAAAACTTAGAATTCGAGGCGTTAACACCCTAAAATCACCAAACGGAGTCGGATTAGCACGAAACTTGGCACACACGACCGCCTTGGCATGAGAGACTTGTGGGAGAAGACAGGACTCAAATCGGATTTCCGGTTTGAAAGTTAGAGCCGGATTTCACTCTAGGCAAACTAGTTCTTTAAAAAATTTAGAATTTGAGGGGTTGACACCCTAAAATCATCAAACGGCGTCGGATTAGCACAAAACTTGGCACACACGACCGCTTTGGCACGTGAGACCTGTGAGAGAAGACGAGACTTGAATCGGGTTCCCAGTTCCCAGTTTGGGAGTTAGAGCCGGATTTCACTTTAGGTAAACTAGTTCTTTAAAAAATTTAGAATTCAAGGTGTTAACATCCCAAAATCACCAAACGGTGTCGGATTAGCACGAAACTTGGCGCACATGACCGCCTCGGCACGAGAGATTTGTGGGAGAAGACGGGACTTGAATCGGGTTCTTGGTTTTGGAGTTAGAGCCGGATTTTACTTTAGGTAAACTAATTCTTTAAAAAATTTAGAATTCAAGATGTTAACGTCCCAAAATCACCAAACGGCGTCGGATTAGCACGAAACTTGGCGCATATGACCGCCTTGGCACAAGAGATTTGTGGGAGAAGACGGGACTCAAATCGGGTTCCCGATTTGGGAGTTAGAGTCAGATTTCGGTCTAGGCACAATTATTTACTTAATTATCTTTCTAATTGTATAGTAGTTAAATTTTTATATTTTTTTTGTAATTAACATATTAACACATAATTATATTGTCATTAATTATTTTTATTTTTTTTCCAGATATTTCCAGTGTAAGAGTTTGCTTCTTGTGGATTTCATGCCTGTGAAGAATGCCACTAATTTTTGTTTTTGTACCACGGAGAATGCTGAGGAAAACTTTTAATTTTGATTTGTGTTATTTTGAATTATGAATAACATTATGTATTTAAACATTATATATGTATTATGGAACATTATGTAC